CCCCCCCCCCCCCCCCGAGGGCAGATTTAGCTCATGTTGCTCTTGTTCATCTTCTTTGTGGAAAGCCACCTTGCCTGAAATTGCTTGAATGAATCAAATTCTGCGTGTCTGTGACCTTAATGCGGGAAAAAAAAATTGTTGTGTGCGCCATGAAAACAGGGTGGCATCCCTCGGGGCAGCCTCGGCCAGCTGTTGCAGACAAGCACAACCGGGTGCGGAAGCACCACCGGCAAGAGCAGACACAGCAGTTTCTTCCTCCAACGGGGAAGTCACAGCCAACGGTAACACCGGCGACGGTGAGGCGCGGGCGTCCGGTTGCCAAGAGGCGGGAAGCGGAGGTAGCGGAGGGGCTGGGGACGAAGAAGGTGCCGGCGGCGACTGCGGTGCCCTGGAGGAGGTGCGGCACCAGGTGGCGCAGGAGTACCTGCCCGTCATGGAGACCATTCGCGACCAGCTCATCGCCGAGCTCAAGGGCATCGACAAGGCGGAGGTGTGTTTGTGTTTGTGTGTGTGTGTGTGTGTGTGTGTGTCCCCGGGGTGTTGCGTTGGTAGCAGTGATAGATTATTCACGGTGTGAGATTGTGTATTTTTGTGCTGCTGAGATGGGGCGCCTTTGGGAGATGCGACCTTCGTTGTTGGTGAACACCCTGTGTTCAAGTCTAGCCTACGATGGGCGGGGGGTAATTGTGCCCCGCGATCTTAGCTTTTGTTTGTGAACTAGTGGTCATGAACGATTGCTTCACGGTCGTCGCACCTTGTTTGTCGGGCTGTTCACGCGAGTGTTGCTGCGCTAAGGTAGCCATCCTTCGTACTTTACCCCATCACGCGGACCGAGTCTAACCAAACTCTTTCGTTCTGAACGCAAGCATCCCTACAGACCGAGCCGCAACGTAGGAACCTGGTGGCTAAGAGATTCAGACTCAAAGAGAACGAACCTTAAATAGCTTCACCGTAAGGATAGCAGCCCAAGACCCTATGGAAATATCTACCATACTGTTGGGTACAGCAGAAACGAGACCCAGGCAGCAAAACAAGCAGTTCTTCGTTGTTAGTACGCTGTTGGGTGACAGTACTGTACGAGCCTCAGGCAACGAAACAAGGGTTCTATGAAGTAGTTGTTAAATGGTAGCGGTTTTTTTCGTTACACAGGTGGAGGACAACCGATTCTCCGTGTCCATCCACTATCGGAACTGCGCGAGAGTGGACGTGCCAAGGGTGAAGGAGGTTGTCGAGCGAGTGCAGGCCAGGCACGAGCGCATCCGGATGGGCTCGGGCAAGGAGGTGAGCCTTGATATCTTAGCGTACCGCTTGGTCTTCCTTGCACGCGCTCTGTATGTGTTGTTGCTCTTGATGCCATGCATTAGAGGAGCGGCGCGCTACCCGCTGGTACATAACTTTGAGCAAGGGGGTAAAAAGGACCAACAGGGCTCTTGCAAAGGATGACGCGGTCGAAAAAGGCTCCCGGATATTGGCGGTGTCTCATCGAGAAGCAGGAATAATGTTCCATCTCGAAAGAGATATGCGAAAGAGACATGGCCAGTGTTCTAGTTAGCCGAGGCAAGCCACAAACTAGGAGGCCACCCCCCCCCCCCCC